CACCGGCACCCCCGGGAGCCGCAGGACGAACACCCTCCTCAATGCCAGCACCCAAAGAGGCCAACGGCGGTAGCGGCGGCGGCGGCGACGGCGGCTGCGGTGGCTGCGGCAGTGGCAGTGACTGCGACTGCGACAGCGGCGGCGGCGGTGGCGACGGCGACTGCGGCAGGGAAGGCGGAGACACCGGGGAAGGGGGACGCAGCAGGGACGGGCCGGGGGGACCACCAGATTCAGCAGACTCCTCAACGGGGACAACCGACGGGAGGGGAGTGACGTGAGAGACACCAGACGGGGCAGGACGAGGCAGGAGAGGAGCAGGGGCTACAGGGGGAGAGGGAGCTAGGAACAGGGGCGGGGCAACCGGGAGACCTCGGTGAGGGAAGCGGCGGTAGAAGGAGACAGACTCGTCAAAGGTGACGTCACGAGAGTGGAGGAAGCGGTGAGACGACGGGTGGTAGAAAAGCCAGTCAGACGAGTCCAGGGGGAAACCGAGGAAGACACAGGGGACTGTGCGGGCAGTGAGCTTGTCCGTGCCAGAGGCACGAACGCGAGCAAGGCAGCCCCAGAAATGGAACGCAGACGCGTCACCGGGGGACCCGGTCCAAAGGAGGGTCGGCGAAACCTGCGGCCGCTGGGAGCGGGGCCACAGCTTAAGCTGGTGAGCAGCGTAGCGAACAGCGAACGGCCACAGAAAATGGGGGGCATCAGCATGAATCATGGAGGTACGGGCGACCTCTATGACCAAGCCGATGCGGCGCTCAGCAACCCCATTCTGCTGTGGCGAGTCCGGCAAGGTGTACGACTGGGTGATGCCCTCCGCACGACAGAACTGTCCAAGCCGACTAGAGGCGAACTCGCCGCCACGGTCAGAGTGGAGACACAATACGGGAAGACCGTGGTGGAGACGCGCAGCCACAACCCACGGGAGAAGAACGTCGGGCACGTCAGCCTTCCGCTCCAGGGGAAACACCGTGGTGTAGCGCGTGTAGTCGTCGACGACCACAAGGAAGTAGCGCTCACCGCGCGGTCCAGGGATTGGGGCAGGGCCCCAAACGTCCAGGTGTAGGGTCTGAAGGGGGGCAGTAGCAGGGTGCCGCGAGGAGGAGTGAGGAGCACGGCGGAGCCGACCCTCGACGCAAGGCGTGCACGGTGGCGCAGTCGAGGGAGGAAGGGCAGGGAGCGACTCGGGGAGACCTAAGACAAGACCGTGCTGGGACATGTGACGCAGACGCGGGAGAGCAGGGTGACCTAAGCGGTGGTGCCAGAGAAGGGACGGGTGAGTGAGGGACCGACACGAGCAAGCTGCAGCGACCTGGGAGGACGCACCAGCCGGGGGGGAAGCGGTGTCTAGGGTAAACAGACCAGACACCAGGTCCCGGGGGAACGTCGCAAGGGGGGAACCTGAGACAGCCTTAGATTAGACAGCGAACCGCTCTTGCCCAGGGAATGTGGTGGTGACGCTGAGGTCCTGGAGACAGCCGACACCAACCAGGTTCCTGGAGAACGAGGGAACGTGGAGGCCTGTAAGGGAGCCCGAGGGAACTGCTGGACAAGGAAGGGACGTAGAACTGCGAGCGGCGACAGGACCAGCAGAGGGGTCAGCGAGAGAGACAACAGCAGGCGCAGCAAGCGGCGTGAGCGTGGAACAGTCGCGGAAGAAGCAGGCAGAAGCACCGGAGTCGAGAGTGAAGGACAGCGAAGCAGTGGCGGAGGCCGGGGACGGAGCCGGTGCAGCGACTAGACTAGGCAAGCTAGGCAGTCCTACGCCTGACGCAGCAGGGGAGGCTAAGCTACACAATGGTGCAACACCTAAACTAGAGTACACAGGGTAATAAGATCCAGCAACACTAGAAACGTCAGAATACAAAGCATGCAAAGCAGCACCTATCTGACCCATGTCAAACTCAAAGATCGGCACGCCCTGGCGGAGCAGGCTGTGCCAGTCGGGGAGGTCCGGGGTCGGGCCAAAGCGACGACGAAAGAGATCATCGAGGCGGCGGAAACAGCAGGCGGTCAGGTGCGGGCGGCGGCACAGAGTGCCGCGAAGAGGCCCGGTCTGAAGCTGGTACTGGCAGGTGACAGCACCGGAGCCGCCGGTAGACACCAAGCTGCGCTGGCCGCCACCACGGCCGCCACCTCCGGAGGTGCCGGGCCAGCCAGGCGGGAGTTGGGCCCACGGCTGCGGCGACTGGTGCTGGGACGGCGGCTGCTGCTGGGGCGGCCGCTGTGGCTGGGGCTGCTCCTGCTGCGGCTGGGGCTGCTGCTCCTGCCCACCAGTGGTAGTCCGCGCAGGCAGACTACCGTCACCACCACCACCACCTGCGCCACCACCCCTACCTCCCTGGCGACCACGGCCACCGTGGCGCGAGCGCTGCTGCGGGTGGACCGCAGCAGCCGTCTCGGTGAGAGGGGTCGCCGTGGCGACCGCAGCCGAAACGTCAGTGAACGTGCACTGGGAGGGGGCACAGCCGTGAAAGATAGAGACTGCCGGCGCACCGCTCGACTGAGCGATAGTGCGCTGACGAGTCTCGATCTCGGTGAGGGTGTCGACAAAGGTGGTGAGGGTGAGGTCACCCGGGTGCTGGCTAAGGAAGTGATTGCGAGCACTAGCGAGGCGGTCTGGCAGGCGCATAGCGATAAAATAGAGCGTCATGCAGAAAGGGGGGGGGGGGGCGCAGTGAGCTGGGCAGCAGTGCTGGCAGTGCGATAGCTGGTCTCTAGGGCACGCAGGTGAGTGGCAAAGTCTGCGACGGTAGGGAAGGCTGCAAGGTCTGGGAACATCATCGGGAAGAGCAATCGGCCAGCAGAGGCAGACGCGGGTGTGGAATAGCGAGTAATAACGGCGTCTAAGTAAGCGTTGGCCGTCTCAACAGTAGCAAAACGCGAGCGCTCAGACATAGGGAGGGCGCGTTTAATAGCAACATGAGCTACTGCATAGCGGGAGTCCCAGACCGCACAGGCAAGCGCAGCAGTAGAGAAGGCCTCACGGTCATCAGAGGAGGGATCAGCAGGGAGGGGAGCAGGGGCAGGGGGGCGGGTGAGCAAGCCATCGACATGGACAACCAAAGAGTGGCCATCCTGGCGCTGACCAGTAAGGTGGCGGCGGATATCGGAGAGCCAGGCGGCGAAGTCAACCGCATGGCCCTCGGCGTCTAGTCGGTGCACGAAGTCAGCCATCGTGCAGGGTCAGCGGCACAGCTCTACAGGAACACAGCGATGCAAGGACACGGCGGCATCACTCTCCACCACGGCGGCCGCGAGGCGCCCCAGCACTGGCGAGCAGAGTAGACGGAGCCCGAGGTGGCACGGCAGAACGAGCAGGCACGAAGATGGGCCGGGCGGGCAGTGGGAGAGGCCAAGCAGGCACGGCGGGGCCAGGCAGGCGCGGCGGGGCCAGGCAGGTGCGGCGGGGCCAGGCAGGCGCGGCGGAGCCAGGCAGGCGCGGCGGGGCCAGGCAGGCGCGGCAGGGCCAGGCAGGCGCGGCGGGGCCAGGCAGGCGCGGCGGGGCCAGACAGGCGCGGCGGGGCCAGGGAGGCGCGGCGGGGCCAGGCAGGCGCGGCAGGGCCAGGCAGGCGCGACGGGGCCAGGCAGGGCGCGACGAGGCCAGGCATGGCGCGACGGGGCCCAAGAGGGGCGCGACAGGGCTAGGAGGCGCAACGGGGCCCAGGAGGGGCGCTAGGAGGCGCGACGGGGCCCTGGAGGGGCGCGATGGGGCTAGGAGGCGCGACGGGGCTAGGAGGTGCGACGGGGCCCAGGAGGGGCGCGACTGGGCCCAGGAGGGGCGCGATGGGGCTAGGAGGCGCGACGAGGCCCAGGAGGGGCACGACGGGGCTAGGAGGCGCGACGGGGCCCAGGAGGGGCGCGATGGGGCTAGGAGGCGCGACGGGGCCCAGGAGGGGCGCGACGAGGCCCAGGAGGGGCGCGACGGGGCCCAGGAGGGGCGCGACGGGGCTAGAGGCGCGACGGGGACCAGGAGGGGCGCGACGGGGCCAGGAGGCGCGACGGGGCCCAGGATGGGCGCGACGAGGCCTAGCTAGGGTACGGGCGGAAGCGGTAGGTGGGGGATGCTAACCGACACGTGATACCATGTTAAAGTAAGAACTGAATGGTTGACTAGAAGTTGAAACCTAGAACAAATACTAGCTGGTTGTACTCACTAGAAGCATACCTCAGTCTAGCCTATAACTTGTACATAGCTAATATGTATAAGTTGACATGTTGTTTTGGTCACCCTGAATTATCAGCCTTAATGGATTTCCAGCCTAAAACAGAATTCTATCTGACTGGTCGAGGCGAGCTGGAGCAGCTGTGAGGGGCGTGTCTTGTCCTTCGCCAAAATGACGCAGGTGACGCAAACTGGAGCACATGTCAGGGGCGTGATAGGTTCTTCGCCAAAATCACGCAGGCAATTTGACGCGAGCTGGAGCAGGTGTGAGGGGCGTGACTGGACCTTAGGCAAAATGACGCAGGTAACGTGAGTTGGAGCAGATGTGAGGGGCGTAATTGGTCCTTCGCCAATATCACGCAATATGAGTCAGGCATTTTTTTTTTGGTCTGACAAAACATGCCCTATCTATCATAATGTGCTAGGTTAAAATCCTACCCACTCTAAATATTGCAACTTCCAAAATCCAACCCTGACAAACGGGGGCTCCTTCTGGGGGCACCCTGAGCCAACAGTCCCTCAAAATCCAATCTGAAGCCCTGCTACCAATACCGTTGCTCACAGCCAGATTATGGCCGTACAGGGATGTACACAACCCGGCCGTTTTTTATACCTGAAGTCCTAACAAGACCACCGTATAAAATCAGCCTGTTCATGGTCGTGCTTCGCCTGTTAATGGCACAAAAACACCTGAAAGTTGGCATTCCTAAACCCTAAAATTTGTAGATGACATCGACAGAAAATTCTCTCACCCTTGGTGCAACCGAGGGACTAACGCATAACAAGGTGTGGAGTGCTGCTGTGCTGCCTCTGATTCCGAAGTTCTGTTGGAAATAAGAAATTTCACTGTCAAAAGTAGAAATTGCACACAAAGGGCATAGACTCAGCATAAGCAAGGCATGCATTTATTCAGTGCAAGGTCAATACCTCTACCAGTTGGCCAATAACTCCATCTCAAAGCAGGTCGAGACTAATCACTTATGCCCCAAACGACTCCACTCAACGCCTGTGTGAAGCGTGAAGTTGCCGGTACTCTCGCAGGTCTTCCCACCTGCTCCGCTCCCCACCGCCGCGCGCTCAACTTCCCAAACTTCCCTGTTATAAGCCATATCGTTACTAGATGATAACGGTGTACTCGTAGGTCGTCCCGGCGCTCCACTTGGCCGGGATCACATTCACAAGTTGCAGCACCAGCTGCTGCCCGGCCTGGGCCACCTCTGTCACGCGCACGCTCACCGTCCTTCCCACACCCAAGATCTTCTCAGCGTCGGACCCCAGCACCCACGTGGCGCTCTCTCCCATGGCGCGTAGGCTCGTCCAGCTGCTGGCGTCCTTGGAGATCTCCACCTTCTCCACCGCGTCCACCACGCCCAGAATCCGAATCGCGAACCAGTAAGGGTTGCTCCCCAGCATCACCCGTACCGCGAAGGTGCCGTTGCTAGGGCACTCCACGCCGCGGTACTTAATCTCCACGCAGCCCGCGGCCCGGTCGCGGACGATTTTGTCCCACATCACCAAAATCGGAGGTCCCACAATCCGTCCCACAAGCCTACATGGGCGGAAACAGTCCTAAAACGGTCCACTCGCGGTCCAAAGGCCATCCCCAAACGCGGTCAGTCTACCTCCCACCCAAAAACCGCCCACACCCTGTCTACAGCTGAGACTGTATTTGGACTGGCCCCGGATCTTGATTGAAGGCCAGGCCAACCGTATATCCTCAACATGAAACAAGCTACACGAACACATAAATTCAAGGCAACATAAAATTCTTGTACAAGTGAGGTTGCAGAAGGTACTGTCAAACAGCAGTACACTGCCCTGCTGAATACTTTAGTGTTCTAGTGAAAGCAGTCTAGTGAATTTCATGCTCAAAACAGAAACTTGTTCACAAGGTAGACACGTGCATCAATGACACTCCTCACAACATGGGCATTGCAAAAAATGGTGTCCACGTCAACAATAGAGTACGCGTCCAGTCCCACTGTGGGGGTCAGGCGTACACAACCAGTCTGCGGGCACGGAGCTGGAAGTTGGGTGAAGTACTGGATTAGAGCCCGCCGAATCAACTCTCCCTCACCGTCCTCACAATGAAACAGCACCAGGGCCCGAGCATACCACCGTGCCCCGCCAGACCGCACGGCCACTGGGGTGAACACCCCCTGCATTGGGCTGGCCTTCACAAACTGGCCAGCCGAAGTCCACTCCATGCGATCATGCGGTGGAATGGCTAGCGCGGTGTGCACCTGAGCAGGCAAACAGCAAAACGAGTGCTGTTCAAGGAAGGCAGAGGCTACAGCGTATTGGTAACACCTGATTAGGGGGCACAGATGTGTTCGAACTAGGCCAACCACCGCCAGCGGACACGCACCTGCACACTAGAGACGCCTGGGGCATGCCTCTGCAGCAAGGGACCGAGACGGTCCATGGCAGTGCCTCCGACGACCCTCACATACTCCCGCCAAACCCCGCATGCCATGTCCCCGATCCGCATCCTCCGAGATGTGCGTGTGAGCACGCGGCAGTCGTTCTCAACAGCCTATAGATCCCCCCGTGACCAGGTGGGAGTGGCGTTCGGGGGGGAGTGGTCCAGGAACAACACAGGAACAAGCACGGAATAGGCACCCCATGGGATTCTCAAACAGCCTATGCCAAGAGTACACAGCCCACAGGCCATGCGGTCAGCCCCTACAGGGGTGGTAGGGGGGAGGGCTTTAGGGAGGTTAGAAAAAGGTTCCCCCTCGTGCCACCCTTGAGGCATCGTGCACATGGCCTGCAGCAGGTGCAAGCAATTACAACGTGTCGGCAATTCGGCACGGAAAACGCAGCCCGCCACGCAGATGCACAACCATTCCCATCAGCCCCTACCACATCCTCTGGTTAGGGCTAGAATGTAGGGTACCTGTGGGCCAGCATCCCCAACTGCAAACACCTCGGCCAGCATTGCAAGGGCCTGCCGCAGCATGGCCATGAATTCCTAGGCTCCCAGCATACTCCTCCGCATACCCCCTCATAAGCCCCCCCATATACCCCATCGCTAAAACCCTCCCTCCCTTCATACCCCTCCACTCCCCTCCTCGCCTTACCACGCAACCTCCATTCCATCCTCAGCCTCTCTTCCCCTCCATCCTTCCTCTCCCTTCCCTCCCTCTCCTCCCGCCCGCTTCACCCACCCGTCCCTTGCTCCCTCTATCCCCAATTCTTCCTCCTCATTCTCTCCTTTACTGTTGAATCAAAGATATCCCCTCTCCTCCCCTCAGGTTTCCCTCCGGTTCAAGCGTAACCTTCTTTCTCATCACCTGTTCTGCCTTCTGCCCTCTGCAAAACCCGCCTCAACCGCCTCCTGAATCCCGTTACGCCGCCCAATCCATCATACATACTCCTCCCTAACTGTCTCCAGCATTGCCTACTGCATCTGCCTCCTATACTATGCCCCTGCTACTGCTCCTCTTGTCCCTTCCTCTTTTTAAACCAACACACAGCTGCAGCCTTTCTTCCCTTCAACAGCACCTTACGTTTGAAACTAGTTCGCTGCTCCTCCTTTCAGCCCCATCATTCCCCCTCCTCTCATTCCCAGCATAGTCTGTCATATGACACCACCTTATCTCCCTCCTCGCAGCGACACCGTTCACCCTACTACCACTCAACTCAAGCTATCTCCTCTTCGCTCCAGAACTCGCCTTCCCATCCCCATTACTTCTTTCCTCTTCGCCTTCCCCATTGACCTGCCGTGGCTGTGCCCTCCTCACCTCTCTCTCTCCATCGCTCGCCTTCCTTCCTCCTCTACATCCTCCCCCCCATCATCTAACTCCTCTTCCTCCACTTTTTCTTCCTCTTCCTCTTCCTCACTACCATCTCCCTCCTTCACCACATTCTCATTCCACATCCACCTCTCCCCGATCGCAGCACCACCCATCACCATCACCACCACTAGCACAAGCTCCTCCACATCTTCGTTGCCATACAAACCCCTGTAATCCTATGCCGCACACCTATCCTCGCACTCCAACTCCGGACACTCCTTCCCCCGCTCCTCCTCAGACCCCACCACAAACCTCGCGCATAGCAGTCTCGTATATGGGGCCACCCCCATAGTCGCGCGCCACTGCCCGGATCGCCGCCATCTGCACATTCCGCCTAACGATGCGCTCCGTCACGTTCCGCCAGTTTGTCCCACGAGCTGGCAGCTTCACAAACGTCTTGTGACTGTGCTCGTATCTGTTGGAGGAGTAGTGGAAAGGCATCCCGCGAGCCCGAATGGTATCGGGAAGGTGCACAAGATCGTGCACCTTGATGAGCTGCCAACGGGACCGCTGATTAGGAAAGATGTCCTCCAACATGTGCATCAGCCTGAACAAACCAATCGGACATCCGGGTAGAAGGGAGAGGGGGAGGGAGGGAACAATCAAAACGGTCCTCCATTGCTAGCACAACATGCAACTGGACCCGCAGTTGCGACTCACTCAGGTGTGCTGCGCTGCATGACCTGTAGAGTCGCATCTGTGTGTGACTCCACACGTATACTCGCCTTGTACCACTCTGTCCACCTCACCACGGCCCTGGCAATGTCCTCCCTGCCTGGGAGGTGCACAATCAGGGGCATGATCTGCATCATGCCCCTATGCTCTGACGCCGAGAAACGCGCGGTAGTTGAGAAATAGGTGGCCGCAGAGGGGGTTCTTAGAGTTGAAGGGGGGGTCTCCTCACGCAGTTGAACGTACCACCTGACGCGGGCAAAGGGAAAATAACCAAAGCATGATACACAGCATTACCATTTAAGCACCATTATAGACAACCAACAGCAGCACGCAGAGCCTAGAAGAGCATGCTTACTCCTGCAGCAACTCCTTCTCGCGCTTGGTTAGGAGCCCGCCAATGCACTTCATGATGTGCACCCAAACGCCCTCGTCCAACACATGCATGATATCCAGGGGCACCGCTAGGTACGTGTTCCCCCATATGGTCTTCGCAAAACCCCAATCCCAGAGAAAACACTGTGCACAGGAGGCCAAGGGTGTAGTGAGAACAAGAAGGTGGGAATAGCCAGGCATGCAAGCTTACCAACATCCCCCCCCAAATGCTCACCGCCACAGGGTGCGTGGACCAGGCCAGCTGAAGATCCTTCAGCATAGAGGGTGTAGCAGCCAACATCTGTCTGTACACCTTCCGCTGCCCCTTCACCGTCCGCTCGGGAAAGGACTGGTCGACACATCTCAAGTGCTCGCTGTCGACCAGGCATGAACTGCACGGGCGATGGGAACCGGCCGACTTGGTGCATGTGACCTTACAAGATTCCGGAAAATCTGTCACGTATGAGTACAACAGAGGGAACACCTTGTACGACACACCATGGTGATCTATGACCTCAAGGCCCCCACTGCACAATTAGGCAAACGACGGGGCGAGGAGGGAGAGCGGAATGGGGAAAACACATTATAGCCGCTCCCAACGTCGTGAGGTCAAGTGGGGTCCAGGTGGGGCAAGTACACACAGTTAGTGGCAACATAGGCCCACCTATGGGGGTGTGAGATGGGCTGCAAAGCAGCCACGAGAATCTGTGCGCAGCGCTGGAAAACACGGGTCTTCTCTACCGAGGACATGTCGGAGGGGAGAGGGGGAATCATGCCTACAAGTTCTGTGCCACCCTCCTTCCACCGTGACGGCTCCGGTATGTTGGTCATGGAGACAACCATCGGATGGGCTGTCTGTCTGCCATTGAACGTCAGTGACGTGCTGTCGCTCCAGAGGATGAGGCCCAAGACCCGTCCTAGGCCCTTCAGAGCGGCCTGGTATGGGCCACACGATATAGGAGTAACGACGCATGGTTCATGCATCATTGAAACAAATATTTTGAACATACAACAATTGCGATATTTAATCTCGTGTGACCATGCCCCACTCACCATCATTTGCAGCCACCAATCGCAGTCCTGGGGATCTCCATACCGCCGCTCTCCACCCTCAAATCTTGGCCTAGCCTCAAGGACAAAGCCCTCCTCGCCCGAAAACACCAACCACATGTGCAGGAGCACCTGTTGGGCTCGAGTGTGAGTGTAAAACACCGAGCCGTTGGGGAATGAGAAAAGGAATCGATAAACACATGTGTGTTGAGCCGAACCAGGTACGAAGGTAGCAAACCGCGTCGCTGTGGGTCGAGTGAGGCACATTCAAGTACCTTGATGATAGGCCGGCACCAGAACGTTACGAAACCCACGTCGTGATCGACCGCAATTTCCGTTGACTCCCAATGCTGGTCGTCCGACTGGGCAAGCGTCTTCTCGAACTTCTCGGCGTCGCGGTGTGTGAACCAAAGGAGCAAGTCATCCACCTTCAACCGCGGGTGTTTGAAGAGGTGAATCAGCTCGGTTATGGCCATG